TAAAACTTTGAATCATACTATACATTATAATGCTAATCTTATTGAGATACATCAGTTGTAAAGTTGTTTAATTAAATTTTGAATGTCACTCACTGACTTGCACAGAAAGATGTTTAAAGTTTAATAATTTAAATGAAGAAGAAGATTTGTGACTATGTAGCCTCCTAACCTTCAACATCACATCATATGATTCATGCATGGTCTTTGGAGTCATCAATTGAAACCAGAAACTAAACATACTAAAAAATAGTTGAGTTAGTCAAAGTAAGGAACCTGACAGACAGTAAACACAACAACACAAAAAACAAAGGCACAAATATAATACATTTATCAACAACAACACTAACACCAATGCAAGAAAGAATTTTAAACAAAGGCCTAAATATGCAATAACACATAGAAATATTCATATTTTAGGGATCAAAACCAAAATAGAAGAACTACGACAATAAACAACAGCATCACATCTATTGACGTTAAAGAAACAAATAGCAATCAACAAGATAAGAACATAGACAATGAAATCACAAAGAATTTTCAAGGCAAGAATAAAGAATGTAGTATCCTATAATACCAAATGACAATCAAAACCTAAAGGATTTCACTCATGAAATATCATGTAGGATTGAAGGTTAATCAATTAAAAACCATAAAAGTAAACAAAATGTCATGAAATGAAAAATATTGTTCCTTAAAGAATTGTGAAATAATTAATAAATTATCATAGTAAAGGCTGACAAAGGTGGTAAAATTGTAATTATGGAAACAGAATTTACTGAAAAAAAAACACCTAAACAATTCAAAGAACTATCCAAAAATCTTAATGAACATTATGGATGACAATTGAACAGTCAGTCTACTTTTAAAGTTAAAAAAAGAAAATCATCATTACATATGACTTGTACAACTTGAGAGCCACCAATGCACATACTCCTTGTTTATTTGATGCTCCAAATCTGGTAATGATAACTATATAAAGTGGGACTCAGCTCACTCAACCCAACAAACAATTGACATGTTATCTTGCATTTGCAACAAAACATTTAACATATGCAATAGCATTAATCTGTCACGTGAGCTAGAATTAATATCCGATACATTTATTAACAAATACCACTTCCCTAAACATATTGTCTCTAGAACCTTAATGAAATATAAAAACAAACTCAACTACAGGGGCACTTAATAGAACATATACCTCCACCATGCAGCATTGATCATATTCGGCCCTAAAAAAACAACAACAACAAAAATCTGTCTGTTGCTATCAATGGACACAAACCATTTTTGGCAGGATAATGAGAAATATTCTACGTATGTCCACCAAGTTTCATCAAAATCTGATAGTTTTTGACTAAGTTATAAAGCTTTGACCCTCAAAAATAATCATTTCTAAGTTTGGTCATAGTCTAAATGTGTACCAACTTTCATCTAAATCCATTGAGCTATTTTTGAGAAACCTTGCTGACACACACAGAGGAGTGAAATTATAACTTCTGTCCAACTTTGGTGGCAGAGGTAATAACAGATAAACAGAAAGGGAAAACAGCACAAACTCCATGAAGGAAACAAAATGCTAAACTCAGACTCACTAAAAGATGTCTTACCATACCATGGCTATGTAAAAAAAAAAAAAACATCATAAACATTTGGAAACATGTATAAAAAAATACCAACTAAACTGTAAAGTTATTTTAATTCAAAAACCAAGCACTAAAATCAAAGGTCATCTAAGGAAGCTTTATTCTGACAACTTCAATGATGGAAGATCTACAAGTATCAAAAAAGATAAATGTGACAGTACTTACATATGTGAAATGGGATGAAACACAAACATTAGGATCAAAGAACATAACAATCCTTTATCACAAATTTATAAACATAGCACAATGAATCAACATTCATAGAAGAGAAATAAAAGAAGCATTAATTGTTTGTGAACTACAACTTCATATAAATCAAAACACAGTTGTCACGCTATATGTTTTGTAAATTGGGGCAAAATAGTTGTGCAATATTTCCTATAACAGACGAAAGTTACCTGATGATGGTCACAGGAGTGGTCAAAATGTTGCAATAAAGCTAAAAAAATCATAATTCACTCAAAAGCTGTATCTCTGGACTTTTAGTTAACGTATAGAGTGAATTTCCTCTCCTCACAACAAACTATATAAATAAATAAATTATATATATATATATATATATATATATATATATATATATATAACACGTTAAATTCAAACTTAAAATTATCTTAACTCTCTCAACACTGGCTCAGTCAATTTGATCAATCACATGATCTCTTTGTCAGTCTTTATAAATTTAATACTTCTAACTTTCAAAATACTGTGTATATCTTCACAAAATTTGGCAGTCTTTCAGCTAACATTATAAGTCTTTCACAAACAAAAAATTGTACTTTTTTAGTGAAGTATTTTTAATAAACTAAAATAAAGATTTTTCCATGAATATATTGAGTGTTTGTTTTGAATAGTCTTTGTGCAAAGTAATTTTCATGCTAAAATTAAAAATACTTTTCCTCCTCTCAAAAATCTCAAATTTCCTTTGTGTAATGCTTAAAATCTCCTAAATACATTTCAAACGTTTTTTTTTCTGTAAAACTTTATATTTTATCTGTTATTTTCTCTACCTTATCTCTATACAGGATTGATCAATTTGACTAACCTCGAAACCACCAAAAAAAAAAAAAAAAATTAAATGACCCTTTTTCTCTTTTGGAAATGACTTCAAATTATAACATGAAACTACATTTGTTTATCCTAAGTAGGTTTAAGCTCATAACAGTATACATCTATTTATAATTAAGTTTTATTGTTTTATTTCCCTTTGAACTGTGTCTAACTATTATTTTTGTCATTATAACTTGTAAATCACTCGAGGAAGGTGCAGCTCATGTTACGCTATCTAATTACATTACCCACGAGTTGCTACAAGCTGCTCACATAACAGTATATATTTATCTATAATTAAGTTTTATTGTTTTATTTCCCTTTGAACTGTGTCTAACTATTATTCTTGCCATTATAACTTGTAAATCACTCGAGGAAGGTGCAGCTCACGTGCATGCCTTGTAAAACATTTATATTTTTATTATTATTTATTTTACCCAATTTAATCTTAACTAACCTAAAAAAATCCATATTTTTACATTTTAATTACTTTTACATTAATAAATAAAGAATTAACATGAAAAACAAAAAATAAAGTACTTACCCAATCTTCTTTTTTTCTTGCTGTCGATTGTTAATGACACTTAACTGTACTTTTTTTTATATACTAATGGCAGTAATGCTCTAAATAACTTTTATGTAATTAAATAATGTACCAAAGAACAAAGACTAATAACATGCAAAAAGTAGATGAATTCCCCTCACACTCAAATTTTTCTGGCTTTCTAACTATGTGACAAGAGCCATTACAAATTCATCCAGGCTAATCGTTAACATTCCCACGGGAACGAATCTCGTACTCTGAGTGAAACTGACGATATTCTGTTTAGAACACAACATTATAAAATACATCATTTGATAAATGAAAACCTTCACTTTCTATTGGTTATAGGTAATATACAATTAAACATAAGAGAGAACTATTAACAAATACTCAAAGAGAGGATGTGATAGGTGGGTGTGGCAGGAAGGGGTCTGATATTATATTTGATAGCTCTATAACCAAACAAAATTGAAGACTTTAATAATTACCGTTTGTCTGAGCAATGATGATTTTATAGGGAGTAATTTATGTTTAATTTTATACTATTTGAAGAGGTGGTGGACAGAATACAGAAGAGAATATACCTAGAGAAAATGTTTCACACTAGGGGAAATTCAGGATTTTTTAAACATGGCCTTATAGAATTAAGAACTTAAAACTTATATACCATTAAAATATGGATTATTAGCTAAGAATTTATGCTATACTAATTGGTATAACATAAACAAAAAGTTGTTTGATAAAATTTTGAATTACTGATAAAAACACACTGTTGAACTGATTGGAGATTTAACAAGGAGTAAGAGGCAGTTAAATGCATGTAAAGAAAAGGTTTAAGGGGATGAAATTAAAATTGGGTTGACAGAGTTTTATCAATATTTGAAAGTAAATCTCTTGTTAATATCATAATGTGATTTGGTGTTGAGTTAGAAAATGGTGTTCAAGACTTTCTTGTGCTAACTTGTAAATTAAGTGGTGCATTTCTCTTGACTAAGACTACCATGTTGGAAATATCATTGGGTCAAAGGAATTGATGTATCTAGTGGAGTCTTTACTTACAGATCTGAGGTGTTCATGAAAATGATTACCCAGTCTGTAGGTTGTTTCTCCAATAAATAGTTTGTGACACACCTGCTACAATGGCTGCAATATATGATCTATTCTGATATGCAGGTGAAATGTCAAAGATGTGGAAAGTGCAACGAGAGCCAGTTATTGTGGTGGTGTTTGAAATGAAGGAAGGAAATGCTCCTCCCATTTTCTTTTACAAAACTATAACCTACCATTTTTGGGCAAGACAGGCAAAGCTAGTATAGAGATAAAAAACAAAGATTAGTAGTACTTACTGTGTAATTAGCTCAATTGCACTCAAGCAAAAATTTAAGAAATTCTTTCTTAAGCCTTGTTGAGCCTTACAAGTTTGGATGTTGAAGAAAAGCAATAAAGTAGCTTTTAAATATGCATTTTAGAACAAAAAAGATATCAATCACTAGTATGTAATACTATAATGTATCTGGCTTTCTAAGTAAACTATAAATAGGTTAACAAATTCCATTAGTGACGTAAATTGATTAGTAATCAGTAAAAGGTGAGGGGCTTCTGTGATGGGTTTGACAAATTTATTGATATCTCAGCAAATCAAAAAGTTAGGATGTGCATATTTGATATTTTTGCTTGTAATTATATAAAGTTTTAATTTCATATCATTATTTATTTATATATATATATACTTTTAGACTTCAAACTTCATTAAAACAAAAACATACCTTGGTACTAATTTATCTGAGTCCCAACTCAATTCCAATAAGCCAAGAAGAATCTTAGAAACATCTAGATAAGGTTCCCAAACAGTAAAGCCTCTCCCAATCAAGTCAATAGCTGCTCGCCTGAGAGTGATATGAGCTAGTAGCTCAGGAGATGCTGGAGCAAGTAAAAGGTATGCAAGAACCTTACCTAAAAAAAATAGAAGAGAAAACATAAATACTTATGCAGATGCAATGAAAGTATGTCAAAACTTTCTACATCTGAGAAAGCTTTGGCTTATTTCCATACAATTTTGAAAGCTTGAACAAAAAATGTTAATATCTAAGGCAAGTCACCATGTAAAAATATCTATTAGCAGGCACTTTATTTATTATTATTATTTTTTTTATGAGTAAAGGTGTGTGCAAAACTAAAAAATCTGGCAAGAGAAGATAAACTGGTCAACACTATCTACAAAATACCTAGGACAAACATCACATTCTTTAGAAATAAGATGCAAAGAACACCAAGGTCACACATAAAGGTGAATCCCAGATATCCACTTTAACATATCAATATTACAGATCACAAAATACTTTGGGATAAAATTACTCTTCTACATTAACCCACTACACTAATTTTTCTTGTTTGGTTTTACAAGTTAGCTTCTTGGGTTCCCAGGGTGTTCATACTTGTGGGGAAACAATCTCGTAAATCATGCCAAAGATAGGAATCTACAGGCTGTAGTCTACTTACAACCTGAAAGGCAAAAGACAAAAGCACAAGGAAAACATAAGGAAGCATTCAGAATATGTGTGGAAATTTAATCATTGTTAATATATATATATATGGTAATTTGGGCTTTAACATGGTAAACCTTAAAACAGAAACACAGAAATGCTCCCAACAAGCCAGAAGGAACGAGGCACAAGGTACATTGGAAATCTAATTCTAGTGTGAAAATTTATAATGAAATTTTCCCTTACACTCTGTCACTATGTAATTAAAAATACTGTATACAATGATGAATATTTGCAGAAACCTACTTCAGGAAATGATGCCAAAATATTGAACAATGATCATGTGGAAAAGGAAGAGCTGACTAAGTGGAAAAAGAGAATATTATAATTGTAATGAGGTTTTGTATGCTTTTTTATCAGAGAATACACGTTGAATAAGTTTACGAGAATGAAAGAAGATGAATTTATCATTTTATCAGATAACTTTAAAGACTGAATTCAACACTATTACAACCTGTAGGCAGCTCTCATTCAATATATAAAATTAAACTTTCTAATCAACAATACTAGAATTTTCCTTGTTTCTTTAGTATTTTCCAGTACCTACTTCTATGTCAGAGATTGTATGAACAGACGAGAAAGTAGGTATACTGTTACTAGAACTGATACAGAAAGAAAAAATTTGTTTCAATGAAAAAATAACTTTACTGTATACAGAATTCAGGAACAAAAAAAAAGAGAATTGTACATTTCACAAATACTTCATTTATTAAAGACCATGGTTTCACCAGTAAAGGCACCATCAGGTACAGACTGAAATGGTTATTGAACAGGTTTATATATATTTAACCTTGATGTTCACCTTGAGACAAGTGGGATAAGAAATGGGGAGGAGCTCAAGTTGGTTTCGTCATCTAGAATTTTTTCTGGACTTGTTTTTACACTTCAATTTATTTCTATAGTTTCCAAACTATGTATTTTTTTACCTTATTCATAGATATGTAAAATTTTGCAGTTATTTTCTGGATCAAATTGGTGTTTAGTTTCAATAAGGTGGGATGCAAAGGTTGAATCCATTTTCTTTAATTTCCAAAAAATTAATGTTTCTGTTCCCACCACTGGATACACTTAAAAGATTTTAGACACACAATAAGAAAAAAGAAAAAGAGTTTCAAAGATGAAAGAAAGTATTTTTTAATATAAAAAGAAAAAAAATGTTTCACAAAAATATATCCTCACAACCAAAAATATATAAATACTTCACCAAATTGTTAAATATTTCAAGCACAGAATACATGTATAGAGGATATATACCAAATTTCATGCAATTAGGCTAAGTATAAGTGTGACAATAAACCAGAGTGGTATGATGCCATCCTGGTGGTCCCATAGGGTTAATAAACAAATGGGGGGCAACGTTGTAGCAACCTTTCCGAGCTCCATAAACTTACACTGCTGCAATGTAAACCTCTAACATTGTGGAAACCAATATGTAATGTTGTCACAACATGAAATTGTCAGCTGGGTGGTATCCTGGGGGAAGGCAAGAAATTTTTTAGTCCACGTCAAAATGCATGTGTTAAATTATATTCACTTGAAAGCTAGATAAATTTTCTTAGATTGGAAGACATCAAGTAACATTTAGTTAGGTTTAACCCATCCCAAATATGTCACGAGTTGACATTTGTTGACTTGCATCCAAAAATTTATTGAACTACTATTTCATGAATTTATGTCATTCAGTTTAGTACCAAACTGTAGATTATAATTCAAATGATAGTATTATATATTACCCAATTTACTAATTTAAAAGTAAAATATTAAAAAACCCACTTAAACATTGATTTTTGTGTCACATGGTATGTTTAATGCAACACTGGTTCAAAT